ATGTGTGCTCACACAGTGGCTGTCCCCCCCATGTGTGCTCACACAGAGGCTGTTCCCCCCCCATGTGTGCTCACACAGAGGCTGTGTGTGTGTGTGTGTGTCCGTCCCTCGTGTGCTCACACAGAGGCTGTTCCCCCCATGTGTGCTGACACAGGGGCTGTTCCCCCCCATGTGTGCTGACACAGGGGCTGTTCCCCCCCATGTGTGCTCACACAGAGGCTGTGTGTGTGTGTGTGTGTGTGTCCGTCCCTCGTGTGCTCACACAGAGGCTGTTCCCCCCATGTGTGCTGACACAGGGGCTGTTCCTTTTTTTAAGTAAAAGTGACAAGTGCAGAATGGAAGCGTGAGGTCGTGGTGCTTGTGCTGGGCACCAGGTGCTGGTCTGCGCACCATCAGTGGTGGATTAAATAGGAACTTGGCTCTGAGTAGATGGGTGCTGTGGAGACAGCATTTTACAGTCTTTAAAAATGTTGCTGACCTGGGCAGTGCCTTTAATTTCAACAGACAGAGGCAAGTGAATTTATAAGTTTTAGACCAGCTTTGTGTACATGGTGAAGTCCAGGTCAACCAGGTCTACATAGTGAGGCCCTGTCTTGAAGACACTTCTTTAAGCCAAGGCAGTCTTAGTCGCACAACTTTAATCCCAGCAGCACTTGGGAGGAAGAGGCAGACGGATCTCTGAATTCGCGGCCAGCCTGGGCTACAGAGTGAGTTCCAGGCCAGCCAAAGCTATTTGTTACACAGAGTAACCCTGGATCGAAAAACCAAAACAAACAAACAAATAAACGACTTAAACAAACTTTGGCCACTTTCCTGTATTGTTTGTTTTCCTTAAAAAATAATGGCATTTCCTGAAGTGTCACTGAGAGAAAGCAGGCTGTGTGAGGGACAAGCCTCTGTCTGGAGTGTCTCCTCCAGTCTGCGTTGGTGCCTGCCTGTGCCAGGACTCTTACCTGCCTTTTCTCTTTTCTTTCCAGTCAGTACTGCTCCACAACCTAAGCCAGTAAGTATAAGCATACAGCGCTTCTGTGGTTAACTTCTGGGTGCTGGGCACGGGCATGATATGGACGGTCAGAGCTTATTTAGAGTGGAAACGAAAGAAAAGCACCATTTCCTGCGCCATTTTCCATGATTGCCTCAAGTAAATCTCATCCTGCGGCAGCGGCAACGGCAACCAGCTGTACTGGTGAGGCTTCTGGGAATAGAGTGTCTGAGTGACCCAGCCCCCAGACTGCACAGAAGACAGAGACTTGTTAGTGTCATTTTGTTCAGTTTCATAAACGGTTCTGCAGATTTACACTAATGGAATGCTAGGGAAAGAGTGGAATTTCATTAGGAAATAATTAAAGTTAACAGTTGTCTCCAACCAGGGGTAATGGATTAGCCACCTGAAGGCTTTATCTGTTTGTAATCTCCGCCCAGGCTGACAAAATGTCAAAGAATAAGAAGAAGAAATTGAAGAAGAAGCAGAAGCGCCAGGCAGAGTTACTAGAGAAGCGAATGCAGGAGATTGAGGAAATGGAGAAAGAGTCGGGCCCTGGGCAAAAAAGACCTGACCAGCAAGAAGAATCAGAGAGTCCTGTTGAGAGACCCTTGACAGAGAACCCACCTAATAAAATGACCCACGAGAAACTTGGTATAAATGGAGCGTTGTAATGATGACTTGATGGCGTACTTGAGCATCGGTTATCTGCTATGTCATGTGTGGGTTCATGTGTGCAGCTCATCTCTGGGGGTGTCCTGTAAGAATTCGGATCTCATAATGCTAGGCAGGCAACAGTAAAGTGTAACTTGCTGCTCTCTCCTCCGAGGTGGAGACAGACTTTGTAGCCGTGGGTAAGGATGAGATCTTTGTCCTTTCATCAGGAGGTGTCAGGCTGTTAGTCTTGTTTTTGTGCCACTCAGTAGCGTTCTAGACAATGTTTTAATCTTGTGAGAATTGTCCTGTTGTGCACTAGCACATATACATGCATCCTTTTCTGTTTGTTCCTTAGAAGAGTCAAGTCCCATTGGCCAGGATCAGACACTCACGGAACGTGGTGTAGAGGGTGGTGAAACAGAAATTAATTGCAATGGAGTAATTGGAGTCGTTAATTACACTGAAAACAGTAATAATGAAACATTGAGGCTTAAAGAGGATCTCCATAATGCTAATGACTGTGATGTCCACACTTTGAAGCAGGAACCTAGTTTCCTAAACTCCCCAAATGGAGACAGCAGTGCTTCTCAAGAGACAGACTCTTGCACACCTGTGACCTCTGAGGTGTCAGAGAGCATGGTGTGCCAGTCCTCCTCCGTAGAGCAGTCGCTCAGTGAGCAGGACATCAGCCAGCTCCAAGAGAGCATCCGGGCCGAGCTACCTTGTGGGGATGAACAGGAGCAAGAGCATAATGGACCACTGGACAACAAAGGTACCGCACCGCCCTGGCCTCCGCAGCGTGCTCTAGAGTGCCTAGACACGCTACATTTTTACGGCAGGTGTCTGGTCTGGGTTTTGTGCTGTTTGTACAGTGGTGGGAGTGGGACACACTGTGTACTCTGGGCAAAAACTACCCCTGAGCAGCATCTCCAGGGAGCAGTTGTCCACGTTACATCCAGTGTGTCCAGGGGTGGCTGACTTGCCATCGGTACAGAGCATTCCAGTCATCCTCTACGGGAGCTTTGTGCTCTAGAAACCAGAGTCTGAGAAAGCTCCCTGGGGGGTGGGGGTGTCTAAGCCTTGACTTGGAGACCTTTGTTTCCCTTAGGGCATCTTGTGTTCATTAAACTTTTCTTATTGATAATGATTGTTGTCTGTAGGAAAATTCACTGCTGGAAATTTTCTTATTAATCCCCTTGAGCCAAAAAATGCAGAAAAACTCAAAGTGAAAATTGCTGATCTTGGGAATGCCTGCTGGGTGGTAAGTTACACTTATTTTATTACTGTATTTTGAAATGACTGGGTGAAGGTCAGTCTGACATCTGCAATTATGTACTGTATTTTACTGATTATTTCAATTTCTCTTAATTTTATTTTGGAGAAGCTCAATATATTTACGAACGTATGGGAAGGAGGATATAATGTCAGGCCCACCTCAGTCGGCTGTTACTCAGCTTCCGTCAGGCCGGCTTGTGTGATCTCTCACCCTTACTCACTTGGACACCCTTGGTGCCCAGGCTTCTTTTCCTCCCCAGCCACAGCTCCATTCTCAAAGAGAGCATTTGCTTTCAAAGTTGTAACCTTGTAAATTCATTTAACATTTGGTATGAAATTCAGTGGGCTGTGTCCTGTCGTGACTGCCCCAGTCACTTATCTCTGAGCTGGGGGGGGGGGGCGCGGCGTAAGTGCAGTATCCAGGTCCCTATGTGCCCCAGCTTGATCTCACTTCTCAGTCACATAAAAAAACCTAATAACTTGAAAAACCAAGACAACATTCCCCTCCTCCATGACTGATCTCACAGAAGTGACTTCCAGTGACCATGAATTAGATGAAATCCCACACCCTCAAAAGAGTGGTTCTTGGTATGTTCAGACAAGGAACACACCAACTTCTAGTGAATTCCAAGACAACACAAACACCTGAATGAAATAAGTCAATACGGATGGTTCAGCATATAAGGCTGACGGCCTGCAAATAATGCCTGGAAACCACGTGGTCGGGGGAGACCTGACTCCTAAGGTGTTCTCTGCCTTCCGCACCCATTGCCACACAGAAGCGATTTGTTTTCTAAGTAATACCAGATGGGAAAGGGGGATTCAACAGGAAAGCAAGAAGACAAGAATACTGAAGAAACAAAATGAAATACTGGGAGGTGGTGGTGCACACCTTTAATCCCAGTGCTTGGAGGGCAAAGCAGGCGGATCTCTGAGTTCAAGACCAGTCTGGTCTAGAGAGGACAGCCAGGGCTACACAGAAACCCTGCCTAGAGAAACAAAGGGAAAAAAGAAAAAACAAACAAAACACTGGCAGTGAGGAGCACAGTGAGGTAGGAAAGCTCTTTGGAAGGCTGCCGCCCAGCAAAATGACAAAGTAGCAGTTCCACAAGTGTGACCTGACTTGGGGACAGCTGCTCAGACACCGCACATACAGAGAGCGTCACAAGAGCTCGGAAATAAGTGACTGGGGCACTCACGACACGACACAACCAGCTGAATTTCGTATGTTAAATGAATTTAAAAGATAGAACTTGCTTAACTATGTATAAAAGATAGCACCTAGCAAACAAACCACCAATAAAAATATATAATTACACATATTTTGAAGGTAAGCAATATAACACTGTCATCAAAAGCATTTGAAACAACATAAAAAAAGCACACAGCTTTTGACAAAGTGCATACCTTTTAATAAATACTCTGAATAGTAATAGTCTCAATGGCCCAGGAAAAGACACAGATGAGGTCATAGAGAGATAGCTCAACAGTGAAGAGCAGTTATTGCTTACAGAGGACCTGTGTTCGATTCCCAGCACCCACATCAGACAGATCACAGCTACATGTGGCTCCATCTCCAGAGGACCCAACATCCTATCCATGAACACACACATATACTCGGAGGTACATACGTGCACATACAGTGTGTGTGTGTGTGTGTGTGTGTGTGCGCGCGTGTGCGTGTGCGTGCGTGCGCGTATGTGCGCGCATGTATGTCCATGGAGTATGTGCATCCAGTGCCTGAGGAGGCCAGAAAAGGGCATCAAATACCCTGCAACTGTAGGTACAGATGGTTGGGCTATGAGTTGCCATGTGGGTGCTGGGAACCAAATGCAGGTTGTCTACAAGAGTAGCAAGTGCTCTTAACTCCTGGCTATCTTTCCTGTCCCTAAAAAGATAATTTTTAAAATCTGAGTCTTTTCCTGAGGCAGGGTCTTACTGTGTAGTGTAGCCTTAGCTAGCCAGGAAGTCACGATGGAGACCAGCCAGGATTTGAATTCATAGAAATCCGCCTGCCTCTGCCTCCTGAGAGCTGGGATTAAAAGCATGCGCCACCATGGCAGGCTAACATGAATTTTTAAAGTAAAAGACAAATGGCCAGATTGGATCAGACAACAGGGATTTTGGTCCTCAAGATTGCTCAGCATTAAAGACAGGTGTGACCTTAGGTTGAAAGATGGGAAAAGGTGTCCAGGCAAATGGCACCTGCGAAGAGAGTTCCAGTTTTGCCATCTCACAAAATAGACTTTGAATCTGGTGAGAAGCCAGGAGGGTCCTCACAGTCCATCAGTCCATCAGTTCAGAAGTAGTAGGTAATCAGTATGTCACTCACCAGTGGGCACGTCAGCCTGGCAAAAATCAAATAACCCACTTGAGAGACACCTACAGATGGTCCATCCAAAGGCTGCAGAATGTATCGTGTATTCTTCTCCACAGCCTGTGGAACTAACTAGTCTCTAAGATAGATAGACTAGGACACAAAGCAAGTCTTAACAGTCTAGATAACTCGGAATAATTTGATGTATCACAATGAAATAAAACTAGAAATCAACAGCAGGAGAAACTACAGGGATTGGAGAGAACTTGACATTGTTGTGTGCCTGGTTCTCACGTTGTGTGATGTTTCATCCGGGAACGAAACCAAGACGGCCAGGCATCTTACCCACCGAGCCTTCTCACCAGCCCTGGCCTTTTCGATTTTTAAATCTGCCTGTTCTTTCATGAGTGTCCATGAAGGCCCCGCCCCCACCCCTGTTGGTCCGGTAGCCATTCGCTGTGTCCATTAGCTGTGTTGGTCCGGTAGCCATTCGCTGTGTTTGTCTTCGGCAGACATGGAGGCCTGCTCTGCTGGTGTGCCTCCCCCTGGGGTCCTTGCTCTCTGCTCACTTAGTCTGGTGCCCTGCCTCCTGCAGGATTCACTTCCTGTTTTAATACATTTTGAATTTTGTTTCCTATACAGGGCTCACCTCAAGTCTTTGTTTTCATATTATACCTCTCCTCTTTTTTTTTTTTTTTTTTTTAATCTTTATTGTATGGGAACTTGCATGTGTGCACCTGTGTGCCACGACATATATGGAGTTCAGAGAACAATTTGCAGGAGACAGTTTCTCTCTCTCTCTCTCTCTCTCTCTCTCTCTCTCTCTCTCTCTCTGCCAGGAGGGTCTGAGAGATACAGCTTAGAGCGCCATGCTTGCTGGCAGGCTCCCTTACTTGCGGGACTCTCTTGCTGACCCTTCTTGTGTGTACTTCTGTATACGTCTGTATATTTTTTTGTTTGCTTGCTTGCTGGGTTTGGGTTTCTTTGTTTTGCTTTTTGAAACAGGATCTCATTGTAGCCCTGGCTGTCCTGGAACCCACCGTGTAGACCAGGCTAGCTTTGAACAGAGATTGCCTGCCTCTGCCTCCCAACTGCTAGGATTAAAGATGTGTGCCACCACACTGGTTCTGATTTTTTATTTCTTGATAATAATTTTATTCCTAAATCTGTATGTCTAAACTAAATTAAGATTCACCATTAGCTAGGAGATGGTGGCACACACCTTTAATTTCGGAACTCGGAGTTCGAGATTAGCCTGGACTACATAGTGAGCTCCAGGACAACCAGGGCTACACAGAGAAACTCTGTCTCTAAATAAATAAATAATAATAATAAAAATAATTTAAGGTTCATCAGTTTTAAAAAGTTGTTTGGAGTAGCAGGAAGGCAGAATTGTTTTAGGGCTAAAAGCATGAAAATGGTACTTGTGAAGTAAGTAAGGGGAAGTTTTGTAAAGAACTTAGTCTCCATTATTAAGCAACTCTTGAGTTGTTCCTTTGTAAAATAGATGACTATTAAATGAGTTCTCCGCTCATTGAATTTCTCAGCACAAGCATTTCACTGAAGATATCCAGACAAGGCAATATCGATCTTTGGAAGTTCTAATAGGATCTGGCTACAACACGCCGGCTGACATCTGGAGCACTGCATGCATGGTAAGCCTACCTGCCCACATCTGGGGGACACTCATGGTAAGCCTACCTGCCCACATCTGGGGGACACTCATGGTAAGCCTACCTGCCCTATTTGCGAAGTAACACACAGCTGTTCACCAGGGACTTGACAGAAACCCTCCTGAGTATGTGTCTGAATTGTTCTGGGACATTAGTGCTTGCGTATTGGTAAATGACTGGTGTTTTCAGACTAGGGACACCCCTGGAAAGGCTTGGGTTCTCTGCTGTTCCGCAGCTCCATGGACATCTTTGTCACTCAGGGTGTGAAGCCCAATCACCTAGAGATGCGTTCTCTTGACTGGAGCTGTCCATTACCACAGTCTGTCTTGTCAGCTCCAAGCCAGCAGACACCATTGTTCTGTGGACGTGTATTTTGGGCTCACAGAGGCGCTGACCACCCAGAATAGACAAGTTCAAGACATTGTTCCTGTATTAGGGCTTTGGCTTTGCACAGTACTCTCAGGGCCTGTCTTTTCCAAGTCAACTTCTGACCAAAGTCCCCACAACCCCTCAGAGAGCGCTAACTTGGCCTTTTGTTACCAAGGGTACAGATCAAGGCCAGACTTAGAAAAGAGTTTGGGAGGCCACTCTCTTGTTGGACTGTCACCACTAGGGAAAGTCCTTGTATGTCAAGTGTGCGCATCTTAATTGTGATTTCATTAGTCCCACAGGATCAAAGTGTGACAAAGTAAGACTTACAAAGGAGAGGATTTGCTATGTTTTGTGAGGCAGGAGGATTGCCAAGAATCCAGGACCATCCTGGGCTACACACATACATACATTTTTTTGTTAAACATTGAAATTAAGAAAATCTCAGTGTTCTGTAATCTGAGGTGTGGATTCCATTTCTAGATGATATCAAATTCCAACACAGGAGGGAGCTGCTCTTCCATGATTTGTACGTGGACTCCGTAATACCCACTTGTGCCTTTCCTGTCCACAGAGAGAAACTCAGGGCCTGGAGGAGGACAGTGTCATATAAGGGGTTCATATCTCTGGGGTACAGAATGTCATGGTAAAATCTGAGGCATTAGCATGTTTGTCATTTCATACAGTTTCTTGGTGGCTACAACACTGAGAACTTCGGGCCACAATCTGGCTCAGTTGGTGAAGTTTGAACCTATGTTCAAAGCTGACAGCCCAAGTTCAAACCCAGAGATGTGCATGGTTGGAAAGAACCAACCCCTGAGAGTTGTCAACACAGTCAACACACAGAATTCATAAGGAAAATCCAGCTTGGATCCTGTGTTTTCTGTGGATGATTTGGTTGGTTTTTCAGGGCAGAGTTTCTCTGTGTTACAGCGCTGGCTGTCCTGGATCTCACTCTGTATCTAATAGAGAGATCCGCTTGCCTTTGCCTCTTGAGTGCTGGAGGTTAAAGCGTGTGTCATGACTGCCCAGCTGAAGCATTGTCTTGAGGAACGTTCGGAACCTCTTGTGTTGTTGAAATGCAAACGGCATTGTTATCCGCCGCTCACTCCTGCCCGGTCGTCTCCACTCTGGTTTGTGTTCTGTGGTCTCCTTTTCCATTTTCTTGTTTGTTTCAGCTTTGGTTTCTTGGGTTGCTTTTACTCCGGGATATCCCAACATCAGTGCTTTTTCTTCCCTCCATTTTATTACTGCACATCTGTCCTTCAGAATTAATTGTAGACATTTTCAAATGGTCATCTAGTGTTAGAGTCAAACAGCAGTAGGCCTTGCAAAGACGCCTTTCCTGTGGTGCCTCATGTGCTGTCTCTCTTTCCTAGGCCTTTGAACTGGCCACCGGCGACTACTTGTTTGAGCCTCATTCGGGGGAGGATTACACTCGAGATGAAGGTGAGTCTCTCCCAGCTGGCTGGTGAGGCAGCTCTGCTTTCCACTGGTAACTGGTGGCACCAGAGCTCTTTGTTACTGTGCGAGGAGTGTGTAAGACCCTGGAAGAGGAGAAATGGAGCTGATGTAAAGCTGAGTGGGACAGTGATGGCATCCCAGCACTAAGGAAACACGCAGGAAGACCACAGCGTCATGGGCAGCCTAGGCTACCCCTTGAGACCCTTTCTGAAAATGTCAGGGTCAGACACAGAAGACACCAGGCTCAGTTGCTGAAGTGCTTGACTGTCTGCAGGAGCTTCAGGGCCATCCTCATCCTTAGAGTGGGTTCCGGGCCAGCCTGGGCTATATGAGATCACCTTTTGGTGTTTTTTTGTTTTGTTTTTTTGTTTGTTTGGTTTTTCCCCCGAGACAGGGTTTCTCTGTAGCTTTGATACCTGTCCTGGAACTCACTCTGTAGACCAGGCTGGCCTCCAACTCACAGAGATCCACCTGGCTCTGCCTCCCGAGTGCTGGGATTAAAGGCATGAGCTACTGCTGCCTGGCTATCCTTTTTTTTTAAAGAAAGAAATACTAAAGAGCTCTGACAGTCCACAGTTGGTTAGAACTTACTTGCCAGCTTTGAGTGGGGGGGGTTGGTTGGTTTCAGCATCTACTTGTCTTCCTTTAAACATCAATGACTTTTCCCACAGTTTAAATTTGACCCATCCATTTATGCCTCCATGTTGATTTGGAGGTCAGTCGTTTTAATCTAATCTGTAACACTTGGAGGCAGAGACTATCCTCTTTAACATTTAGCATTTCCCTTTTCTAGAAAGTATATTGATTTCCTTTTATTTTGTACAGAATTCCTTTTTTTGTTGTTGTTGTTGTTGTTTTTAAGATTTATTTATTTATTATGTATACAGTGTTCTGCCTGCATGCCAGAAGAGGGCACCAGATCTCATTACGGATGGTTGTGAGCCATCATGTGGTTGCTGGGAATTGAACTCAGGACCTCTGGAAGAGCAGCCAATGCTCTTAACCTCTGAGCCATCTCTCCAGCCCCAGAATTCCATTTTTAATTAAAATATAGTGGGTTTAAATGTTGTGGCCCTGTAGGAAAGGCCCACACTGTCAGATGCTCCATCCAAGGGCATGGGAAAGACAGCAGGGCGCATCGGGTTTTGCCAGCCTGACAGCCAGGTTCCTGGGTGAATAAAAGGGACGAGGATGAGGGACACGGTTGGCCTCTTGTGTCTGCTGGGTTCACAGCAGTGGGTTTGCAGGGCTGGTGAGCAGTCAGTACTTGAGCAGGCGCTGGCAGCATGACTGACACCTGTGAAGAGTGGGCCTTCCACTGCCGTGCTTTGCTCTTGGCCTTGTGATCTGTGCAACCTGGTTAGGATGCCCTCTGTTGGGTGGCGTGGCTCCCTTTGGATATTAACAGACGGTGTCAGTGCATCTTGCTAAGATTCCTAAGTACTGTAGAAAATGGCAGGTAATATGCTGAGCAGTTGAATAGTCACGAGTCTGTGTGTTTCGCTCAGTACAGGTAGGGTGTGTTTCCCGTGTACATGTCGCAGCACACACCTTTTGGTAGAAGGTTCCGTGATGATTCACTGTCCACAATGGTTGTCCTGCTTGTTGCTCACTTTCGTTCTCTTAGAACAGCAATTCTCAACCTGTGGGTTTCCACCCCTTTGGGGATCAAAAGATCCTTTCACAGGGGCCACATCAGATTTTCTGCATACCAGATATTTACATTATGATTCATAACAGTAGCAAAATTAGTCATGAAGTAGCAATGAAAATAACTTTATGCCTGGGCGGTCATGGTGAACACCATTAATCCCAGCAGTCGGATCTCTGTGAGTTCAAGGCCAGCCTGGTCTATAGAGTGAGTTGGATGGCCAGGGCCACACAGAGAAACCCTGTCTCAACAAACAAACAAAAATAAGTGAATGAATAAATAAATAAAGATAATGGTAATGATAATAATTTTACGGCTGGGCTCACCACCACGTGAGGAGCTGTATTAACGGGTGCTGTGTTAGGAAGGTTGAGAACTGCTGTCTTAGAAGAGCTGCGGGTTTGTGAGGCTCTCAGATTCCCTGTTGTATCTCTTTATGCACTTTGTCTTGATAAAGTGTGCTGCAGAATACATGGAGTGGGACCTTCCCTAGCAAATACATGAGAGGTCTCGATGTGCCCCCCTCCGGTCAGCACCCCGCTGCTGTGCTGCTGTTGGGCTCTTGGAGCTGTGGCCTGTGTGTGCCATTATTTAGCTAATGCTGACATGCTGTTTCCTCTGCTTGAAGAACCCCCGGACTGAGGTTTATGGCCTAAAGTAAAGCTGTAGATCAGCCTCAACTGAGCAAGCTTGTAGTTAGGCAAGCAGGACCCCAGGTCATTTGTGATCTTTTCAGTCTCCCCTGGACACCTGGGTTTTATTCGTGGTCACTTGAACCCGCTGACCCTTGGAAGTGCTATTCGTGGAAAGCCATGTTTACTGCTTCACCTTGATTCTCTGGGTCTTGCTTCTATCTCAGGCCACCTGGTGAGTGCTGTTGCTGATAGGCAAGATTCCAAGGCCCTTTGGCCACAGTTGGAAATAGTCAGGGGACTTCTCAGGCTCAGGTGGACAAGCTTGAGGAAGCAGAGCCTCTCGTCCCAAGGTTGACTCTGGTCCGCACTCCGGGCTGCCTGGAGCGGTGTGAGGTGCTTGTGGAACTGGACCCTGCGTTAGATAGAGTCCGTTTCTTCTGCTTTCGGACAGGAAGCAAGTGTGCAGTGCCCTAAGGGTGTGTGTGTGTGTGTGTGTGCTGTGTGAGAACCACGTGTGTCATCCCTGTTCTCTTCTTTCCCTTGAATACCTGCACACGCAGACCACATCGCCTTGATCATAGAACTGCTGGGAAAGGTGCCTCGCAAGCTCATTGTGGCAGGAAAATATTCCAAGGAATTTTTCACCAAAAAAGGTAAAACGAATGTGTTTGTTCCCAGTCATTAAAGGGTAACAGTGTCTAAAGTTAGAAAGTGAGTACATCTGGGCCCTTGTTCCCCAGATCTGCAGAAAGGTGAGTAGGATACCCTGGATATCCAGTGTGGCTTAGCAAGTGCTGAATGGTATGGGCAGGAGCTCAGCACAGCCGCACTGTTGGGCTGGGTTTGGTTTTGGGTGGTGTCTTCCCTGTCTTCCAGGTGGTTAGAGGTGCATGCCCCCACCACCCCTACGTAAAAACAGTGGGGGCTGGAGGGATGGTCCAGTGCTTCAGAGCATGCACTTCTAGTAACCAAAGCCTCTGTGGGCAAGGACACTGTCCCCTCTCCCTCTGCATCCCATGAATGTCTGAGCACATTGTCCACAGAGACTGACAACACCGCAGGCCTGTTGATGCCGTTCGGAGCTTGGGATGTTGTGCACTGGATCTCTAGTCCCAGTCCTTAGGAGACCGAGGCAGGCAGGGGTTCCTCAGGTCCAGCCTAGGCTTCACCGCAAGGACCCATCTCAAAAGAGCAGAACAAGGAGTAAGGGGATGGATGCTGTGGTAGTTGGAGGAGGAGCTTGCTGATGTCTTCGGCACTCTCTAGACAGTATCTAGTCGGGCTGTGTAGCCTGGGGCAGCTCTCACCTCCTCAGACTCAGGCACTCTTCCTGCCCAGCCTCCTCAGGACTGGGGTGATAGGCACGAGCCTTGAGTCTGGGTTTCTTCAGACAGCAAAGATGAAACTGGCCAGGTAGCGGTAGCGCATATGCAAGGCTAGCCTGGTCTACAGAGCGAGCTCCAGAACAGGCACCAAAGCTACACAGGGAGACCCTGTCTGGAAAAACAAACAAACAGAAGATGAAGCTGAGGTGGAACTGGAGGTCTGGTCTGTTGTCTCTGTGCCCGTGTACCTTTTCCTTAGCTGGTAACAGTGCTGAGGAACCTGGGCGGGAGGGTCCTTAGAAAGATGAAACCTTCTGAGCTGGAAAACAGGATATTGCTCTTAAGGGTCCTTCCTGTGTGCAAAGTCAATCATGGCATGCATGGCCTTCGAAAGAAAAAGATCGCCAGTCTCATCACGTGGAAAGGGTTTTTAGCATTTATCTGGGGAAGATCTTAAATATAGATGTGATAAGATCAAAAAGGAAGATTATTGAATCTACTTTTAAAAGGCAACTACTAGTTTTAAATATTTTACATTGGATTGGATTTTTGTTATTTTGGTTTTTTGTTTTGTTTTATTTTTTTTTCCAGAGCTGAGGACCGAATCCAGGGCCTTGGGCTTGCTAGGCAAGCACTCTACCACTGAGCTAAATCCCCAACCGGGTTTTTGTATATTGTATACAATATTGTATTGGACTCACCAAAATAGGATAAATAATGAATATTTTGTCTGAATTTGTCAAATGTTAATGGACTGGACATTGTTAATATAATTCTTGACTGTATATATTATATATATTTATTATATATAGTTTATATATATATATATATATATATAAATATAACTACTTTAGACTAAAAAAAGGGGGTGTATGATATTTTGTGTTCTAACAAATAAAACTTACCTGGTGATCAGAGGACAGAGCCAGCCACTAGATTAGGCATAGAGGCCAGACAGTGGTGGCACACACACTTAATCCTATCAGTTGGGAGGCAGAGATCCATCTGGATCTCTGAGTGCAGGGCCACCCTGGAAACAGAGCCAGGCAGTGGTGGCCTTTAGTCCTAGGAAGTGATGACAGGAAGCTGGAAGGTACATAAGGCCCAAGGACCAGGAACTAGAAGCTTTTAGCAGCAGTTCAACTGAGACCCTCTGGGGTGAGGACTCAGAAGCTCTCAGTCAGAGGAAACAGGAACACTCACTATCTTAAAAGAGAGGCCCTCAGTCTGCTCCGGGTTCTCTGTTAATAAGACGGTTAGCAGATTGTGTTGTACTTCCTAAGTTCCTCACTCAAGGCGGGGCCTCAGGCTGAAACCCAGGATTTCAAGGTTAGTCTGGGCAACATAGCAAGACAGGTACCTGCAGAAAACGTCTGAAAACTGCGTACAGCTCGGTGGTCGTGGGCCGGCCGGGCTCCCAAGGCTTGGTGTGATCTGAGCACCGTTTGTTGACGGGAAAAGGTCAGTGCCTAGGAGCAATTTGACTGAGCATTCCAAGTGGTGCCACTGAGGCCACATCTCCTGATCTGTTTGTCGTGCTGTTAGCTTCTTGTTTGTAAACCGTTGCCTCCTTTAGAAGCAGCACGTGCTAGGTAGACTGTCGGACTGTAGAAGAGACTACCAGTTGCTCATAGCATGCTTGAGCGCGCCAGGAGACTGGACTGTGAGCCTTGCGCTGTCTCCCCACAGGTGACCTGAAACACATCACCAAGCTGAAGCCTTGGGGCCTTCTGGAGGTTTTGGTGGAGAAGTATGAGTGGCCTCAGGAGGAGGCTGCCGGCTTCACAGATTTCCTGCTGCCCATGTTGGAGCTCGTCCCTGAGAAGAGAGCCACTGCTGCTGAGTGTCTGCGGCACCCTTGGCTCAACTCCTAAGGCCTCCTGCACTGCAGCAGAGCTCATCAGGCTTACCCTCCGGCCCTCCCCTCCGAGACTTGCCCTTTTCCCTTTTCAGGGTGAAGCTCTTTCTTCAAGGGTTTCTAATTTTTTTTTTAATCCAACATGTTCATTTGGGTTTGCTTCCTTGACCCTGTGGAAATCCCCACAGCCACTGGGCATCCTAGGTGAATTTGGCCTTAGTTGGGCTCTGCCAAAGACTCCAAGTAGGAACAGCCTCACCCTCTGCCCTGCCCTCTAAAAAGAGCTGTGAAGATCCGTGAGCCCATCCTTTTTAGCCCTGGCTCTAAGAGTCAGGTTTTCTAATGCACACCCCGCTGCCAGCACTAGGGTGAGGAGGGAGGGTGTGGATTCTGTGGATAGCAGAGACATTAAACATGCTCTATCCAGGCTGTGGCATCTTCCTGGATTCTTCTGTGTTTTCTATGGTCACATTTTTTTTTCCTGCGACTTTTAAGCTACATTTTTCGATGAGCAACAAATTTGGGTACCAGTTTATCACTGTTGAAGCACTGTCAGATTTCTCTCGTCCTCTCATAACTAAGTTCTTGGAATTTTGATTCTGATTTTTACTGTAAACAAAACAACCAGTGAATCTTTCCGAAGAGTCTCAGGTGTTGTGCATATAGTCCTTTCTGTGTGTCTTCTGTTGCCCCAAGCAGTTGCTTGGACCACACTCCCCGCTTGGAACGCCCTGCTGGCACTTGGCTTGCTCAGCCTGAGTTTACTGTTTTGTAACTAGAACATGGGGGTGATCCAGACGGGAGATGTGGGTTTCAGAGCTGTACAGTCTGGGGAGTGTTCCCACATTCCAAGTCCTTCCCAGACAGCTCTTGGCTTCCATTCACAGCTTTTCCTGCCTTGCCCAATTCCTGCCCTTGATGCAGTTTCTCCATGTGGCTTTGCTGTTCTCATTTCTCAGAGGCTCGGGGTCTCTAATGAAACCCTGGGTGAGGAACCAAGGGGAGGGGGAGGCAGTTTTCTTTTCCCTGTTGGTTTTGATGTTAGCCGTCTTATGCTGCTATTTCCTTGTGTAATGTCAGTTTTGAGATGATTGAAATGTACTTGAGGCTTTTTCTTCTTAATGCAAAAAGGCTTTTGAATTTTGTTTTAGGCTCAGCCTCATAAACTTGATCACCCAAACATTACTTTTTCCCAGGGTGAAGTGAGCCTCAGAAGAGGGCAGGACTGGGGTCCTGGAAAGGCTGCTTGATAATCTATCGAGGACCAAGTGGGTCTTGATACCGCACTCTCCGGAAACAGCTCAGTTTCTAACTTGAAGAAGGCCACGGAAGTGCAAGCCAAGGCTCTCCTAGCAAGCTGCCTCCTTCCTGTGTGTGAGACTGGAGAGTCACCTCATGCTTGGCTCACGAGTGAGCAGGCTCATGTAACTCATCAGCTTCACCTGAGGAGCTGGCCAGCCAGGCATTGGCTCTGGATTGGTTACTCCTGGCACCAGACCTGTTCCTGTAGAAAGAGTTGTAAGTCAGGCTATCTATGCACCTATCCAGAACAAGAGAGCAGATGACATCGCGTACGGCAGGGAACCCTCCATCAGTTCTAATCCACTCTGGGTTGTCAACTGTACTGACATCTAAAGCAATAGCAGACAGACCTACCTGAAACTGCTTCTCAGCAAATCACAGTTGCGGGATCACAGGCATCCTAGCGACATTAAGGTGGTATGACCAGGAAACAAGCCAACAGCAGGCCTATTTTAATCATTGATACCATGGGGAATTTTAATGGGGGGAGAACCTGGAACTTCACTTTGGAAATAAGTCCCACCAATAAGGGCTTTCCCCCATCACTAAGGAGCCAGAGGACCTGGGAGAGCTGGAGGAGGCGGCAGCAGGAGCTGTCTGTCCATCCACGGCCTCCTGAGCTTGGCTGAGCACAGTGGATGCTGTGGAGGCCAGGTCTCACTGGAGGGCTGCTGTTGGCTCTTGGTTAGGAATAAGTCCTGATATGTTTTATATTCTTTCTACTGCGTGCATTGTTTGTGTCCTTACAAATGCAGAACAATAAACAGAGTATTTAATAACCTGCTTGTCTCCAGAAGTTTCTTATCTTTGTTGTCCAAGCAGTTAACTAAATATACAATAAGAAAGTAAGACACTCTTGTGGGTTTGAATTAGCGTGTACTTTGGAAAGCTGTAAGAAAGTTATTTCCTACATCCAGGAGCTGGAGAGATGGTTCAGTCAGTAATTGCCACATAAGCCCCACCAAAAAAAAAGACCAGGTGTGAACATTGAAATCAAAACCATGACCTTTGAGGGGATGCTAACAGGATCCCTGGAGCTTGCGGGCCAGCCTGTTAGGCTCAGTCTGTGGAGCTCCAGGTTCAGTGAGACCCTGTCTGCCAAAAATTAAGCAACAGAGGAAGGTACATAGTGCCAGTCTGGACACCTCTCAGGTGTGTGTGCACATGTGTGCGCATACACACGTTCTTGCCCACGGTAACCTTTTCCTGTCCGTGTGAAGGATTTATACTGCCCTTTTGATCTCCTCAAATGACTAACATACACACTGCAACCTTTTCTGGTGAGCCACTTCGTGTAGGGTCCAATGTTCCTGCCTGATCCACTCCCTCCCTGTGCTAAGTTCCTAGAGACCTCACCTCAGCAGCCAGAAGAAGCACTTAGTAAGGCCTCTGGTAACAGCCAGAGAAGGGCTAGGCAGTTTCTTGGGACAGCCTGTTGAGCCCTTTGTTGGAGTCTTACTGTTTGCTGTGCTGAAGTCGAACCCAGGGCCCTGGCACCTGCTAGGCCAGTACTCCACCTCTGAGCTTTATTCTTAGACATGCTGTGCTGCATTCTAAGCCTGTGCCTGGTTTCTCCCAGGAAAGCGTGTGCCCTACTTCATTACTTGTTGGGTACTGGTGAGATTGAAAACTTACAGGTTTCATTGGCCACTGACATGTTTTATTATTCCCTTAAATTTGGGTTTCTTTTTGGGGGATGGAGAATTTGGGACAGGATCTCAATATGTATCTAGCTGTCTTAGAACTCATTATGTAGACCAGCCTGGCCTCCCAAGAGCTAGGATTAAAGGTGGGTGCTACCGTTCCTAGACCTACTCAGGTTTCCTTTGGAGCGCTTTCCTGGTTTCTTTAAACTTCTTACTTGGGAGGCCGGAGAGATGGCTCAGTGGTTAAGAGCAGTGACTGCTCTTCCAGAGGACCCAGGCTCAATTTCCAGCCTCCACATGGCTGCTGACAACTGTAACTCCAGTTCCAGGGGACTGACACCCTCACACAGACATACATGCAGGCAAAACACTAATACACATAAAAGTAATTTTTAAAAATTCTCACCTGCCAGTGTATATGCACATGCATATGTGGGGTAGGAAGACAACTTTTGGGAATTGGTTCTTGTGCATGATCTGTCCTGAGGCTGTCAAGGCAGGCACGTTCACCCCTGAGCCATCATGTCTACCCTGGAGTGCTTTCTTTTTTTAATGGCTTGGTTAGGACTTTAATTTGCCTTTTGCCTTATATTTATGGCATTTGTAGTGTTGGTCATAGAAAGTCCTTTTTCAGGTACCCATGAATTACACAGGATTGTTTTGTTGTACTGTAGGTGGGCATAGCAATGCACACCTATCGTCCCAGTACTCAGGAGGCTGAAGCAGGAGAATTGCTAGAGATTTGATGCTAGCCTAGGCTGCACAGTGAGGCTGCTGTGTCCCCACTAGAAAGTGACCTGTGTGATGCAGCAAACCAGTGCATTACCAGATGGCCAGCCGTGACTCCCGCCAAGCCTCTGGTAAGTGTAGAGCCTGGAAAGCCAACGTTTGGGGGCAAGCGTCTTGCCATCTCAGAAAAGGCAGGTGTCCACAGAGACTCCCCTTGCGGAGTCTGTAGCCCAACCCAGCCTATCAGATTTATCTGGCGTATTGAGTTTTTGTTTTGTGTTGTTAGGATTTTGTTTGTGTTGGGGAGTTTGTTGATTTGGTTTTTTGAAACAGGGTTTCTCTGTGTATCCCTGGCTGTCCTGGAACTCACTCTGTGGCCCAGGCTGGCCTTGAACTCACAGAGATCCTCCTACCTCTGCCTCCCAAGTGCTAGGAGTAAAGAATGTGTGCCACCACCACCCGACTTTGTGTTGTTTTCTTAACTTCTGAGTCCTTGCAAGTGTTCAGCTTGATGAGGAAAATGCTGAAATTAGTGCCTGGACTCGTGTGAGCTCAGAAATAAGGCCTCCGACACCGGAGAAGCCTGGGGACTCCACTCTGGAGAGCATTGATGAAGTGAGGAAGTCTGAGCCTGCTGAAGAGGGTGGTTGCTTTGCAGCCACTGAGATTTCCCAAGGCTGGAGGTGGGTTTTTACATAGAGCATACAATCTCCTACAGAAACATTGAGATAATTAAACCCAGAGGGTTGGTTTTGTTTTAGGAGTTTTTGTTTATTGAGACAGGGTCTTGCTGGCTGCCCGGAAACTCATGTAGACCAGGTTGTTTCTGCCACCCACCCACACCCACTTTGTAACAAGTTTTAAGATTCTAAGCAAGGAAGTTTGCTTTGGAATCAGTTCTGTGTGGACACACATGACCGTTCCTTGTAAAGAGCAGAGGGCTTCTATCGCACAGAGCCCCATGGATTCTCATCCTCCGTTCTCCCTTTGCTAATTGGGTCTACTTTGCTATTTTCAGTGCAGTAAGCCTTGCTCCGAGTAGAGAACTTGGCTGTTCTCGGGAAGTGCAGCTGCTCTTCTGTGCTTCCGAGACAGATTTTTGTTGGGTAGAGAGGAGGGTGGCTGGCTTGGGAATGGACAAGGTAGGCCCTGCTGTCAGTGCTCCGAGGTCAGCAGAAGTGAGCGTTCAGGAGTGGAGCCTGCCCTCTTCTACGAAACAAATGTGTGCTGCTCACCGGAGTATCACAATTGTTTACCTCAGTAGCGCAGCTGTTCACAGCAGTAGCATAGCCCAGCTGCTCACTGCATAGCCCAGCTGCTCACTGCAGTAACCCATCACTGCAGTAGCCCAGCTGCTCACTGCAGTAACCCAGCTGCTCACTGCA